TTTTTTCTGGATTCTTTGATAAAGTTTAATGAACAGCATTTATTTTGTATTTAAGTTTGTTTATTAAATTGATTAAATAGAAATATAAATGTCTTCAATGTCACTTTTAATCAATTTAATGCATCAACATTAACCCTAATACTTTTTCAACATTGATAATATTAAAACATCTTTCTAACAGGGATAGTTCACCAAAAATGTCACACTTAAGTTGTTCTAAATCTGTATGAGTTTCTTTGTTCTGCTGAACACAAAAGATATTTTGAAGAATGTTGGTAACATTTTATGGGTCCCCATTGACTTCTTCAGTAGTATTATTATTATTTTCTTCATAATATGGAATCAATGGGGAACCAAAATTGTTTGGTTAACAACATTCTTCAAAATATCTTTGTGTGTGTGTGTGTGTCACATACAAGAAACTCGTACAGGTTTATGACAACTTGAGGGTGAATAAATGATAAATTTTTATTTTAGGGTGAACTATCCTTTTAAGTAGACTGATCCTCATTAGAATGATTTCTGAAGGATCATGTGACACCAAAGCCTGGAGTAATGATGCTGAAAATTTAGCTTTGATCACAGGAATAAATTACATTATAAAATAAATTAAAAGTTTTTTTTTTAACTTTATTTTTGGTTATTTAAATGCAGCCTTGTTGAGCCTAAGATACTTTTTTTCAAAAACATTAATACATTTTCAAAAAAACATTCATTGTAAGGTTTTCAAACTTTTCATTGGTACTGTATAGGTAAGTGGCAGCTGGGGTCTATTACATAATTACTAGAGCACTGCTAGATTTATATCAATAATAATAATAATAAACAATTAACAGAGGAACAATCTTGAATTTTAGCAGCCTGATACTAGGAATACTTACATTCCACATCTTAAAGACCTGTGGGTCCTCCTCACGCAAGTATATGGCATCATGGAAATCCTGTAAAAACAAGTTTAGAAAATATTCATTTATTATATTTCCAGTATTTGTACATCAATATTACAGTATTTTCAGTCAGTCAGATTTGATTATTTAACTGAATCTAATGTCTTGTTAACTTCCCGTCGGTTACAAAAAACATAACAAAAAACAGCTTAGAAAACGTTGACACGTTTAGATTACTTACAAGGTATTCCATGCGTTGAATCCTGCCGCTCTCGAGTGTCCGCCATAATGAGCCCCACAAAAATAAAAGTAAACTGCTCGTTCAGAAAATGTTATTGTTTAAAGTAGCATTAACTATTTCACATATTCTAATTGTATTGTACTCAACATTTTTATGTCCATAGTACTGTTCGGGTTTACAGTGTACAATACGATTATTGATTAATACATTTATTTATGTATCATTCTTTTATGTTTATACATATTTGAACCAGTGTTATTATGAATATCATTCTCAAAAACTCCAAAGGCAGATAGCATGCTGAAGATGGGATTCCAGCAACAGGTCCCTGAAGAGCATCAGACGCTGTTGACTTCAGCCACCATTCCCACAGGAACAGAACAGCTAGCGGCCCTCTCACCCGTGACCCCGTGACCCCGTGAGCATTACCATCGGTCAGAAGAACCAACCCTGCACCAACGTCCGTCAGGCAGTCCTCTGCGTGGAGGAGCCGTCAAAGAAAAAGAAGCTCTTTGAGATTTTAAATGTAAGTATACTGTAGAAACCACTTGCATGTGTTATTGTATTTTGGTGTCATGTACGATTCATCAGTGACAACAGGAAGTTGATTTAAAAGCATTCAGATTTAACTACAAAATCATCTGGATTGAAAGCTTCTGTCGACTAGCTTGTTGACAGAAATGCAGTTAGAGTGGAAGTCTATAGGGCAATCTTTGCCCTCCTCTCAGTCTCCAGAGGAAATGGGTGGGACTTCAAATGGCTTTGCTCCAGGAGAACTAGCAACAGGACTCACCACCAGAGACCGAGAGCAGGAAATGGAGCATTTATAAATCACAGGCCGTGGAAATAAAATGACTGCCCCCAAGAAATTGTTAATTAAAACAAATAAATATTGTATATTTATATTTTAATGTATAATAATACTATAATATATATTTGACATCTTAGAGCAATTGTCCACCAACAATATTAAATACCTAATAAATATGAGAGTCTGTATTTAATATTATATTAAATATTTTAGAACAATTGTCCATCAGAAATATGAAATAACATAAATGTTAAATATGCATTCATGAATATGAAATTGAATATGAAAAAGTAAATAAATAAACACAATTCTTTATTAATAATATATTTAATAATGTAGAATAATTGTCCATTAATATGAAAGAACAATTGATAAATAAGTTCATATTTAGAAATATGAATATAAAACTTTACATTTCTTTTTAAGTGTCCATACAAAATATATGAACAGTTGATAAATATGAATTCATAAAAATTGAAGAAATAATCAAACAAAAACAAACTGTTTATAAATATTATATTATATGAATATAAAACTTAAAATTTCATTTTAAGTGTCCATAAAAAAAGATGAACAGTTGATAAATATGAAGTCATAAAAATTGAAGAAATAATCAAACAAAAATAAACTGTTTATAAATATTATATTAAATTACATTATATTTTAGAATAATTGTTCATCAAAAATTCATACATGTCAAATTAAATGAATAAATAAATACATAAATATATTATGTATTAATATTATAATGAATGTTTTATAACTATTGTCCATCAAAAACCGGGAACAAATATTATTGCTCAAATTATTTTTTAAATCATTTTTATTTAATATTTTTTAAATATTTAAATATCAAATATCAGAATTGTAAGTACTGGAATTAAACTGCTTCTTTTTTTTTACACTGTGAATTTAATATGAATGGCACATATTTGTGGGTTTGTTTTCATCAGAATATGATCTACATTGTGATCTTGTGTGTGTGTGTGTGTGTGTGTGTGCTCACAGGACAGAAAGCTTTACCAGCCACCAGTAGTTGTGTTCGTGGACTGCAAACTTGGGGCTGATTTGTTGTGTGAAGCTGTGCAAAAGGTCATGGGATTGAACGCAGTTGCGATCCACTCGGACAAGCTGCAGTGGGAACGCAACAAAATTGTAAAGGTAATGAAAAAATATCTTTAAAATATTATATTGAATATATTTGTTGGTATTTTTTATATTTAATATTTTTTTAATTATTGTGCATTAAAATGTTAAAAAACAATGAATAAATATGAATTTATTCATATTAAATAAATCAACAATTCTGGATGAAATACTGTTTTTAGGGTCTTCTCGAGGGCCAGTTTGAAGTGGTGGTCAGCACTGGGATTCTCGGTAGAGGACTGGACCTGGTCAATGTGAAGCTGGTAGTGAACTTTGACATGCCAGCTAACACGGATGAGTATGTTCATCAGGTATGACGTGCTTCATGAATACACTGGTGCTTCTCATTTCTTTAAGGAATCATTCAGATTGGTCGAGCGGGTCGGCTGGGCCACAGAGGCACCGCTGTCACCTTCATGAATAACAACAACAAGCGGCTGTTTCTGGACATTGTGAACCGAGTGAAACCCACGGGCTTCATCCTGCCGCCACAGCTCCTCAACAAACAACACGCACATCCATTTATTAGTAAATGTTTTGTTGCTGCTTTTGTAATTTGTATTTTCAATAAATGCTACAAGTGAATGAAGAAAATGTCTCTTCTGATAATTACACAGTACACACACCATAATAACGTCAACCCACATGGTAGAAATATCAGTAATGTTGATGGAAAAGTATAACAACACTAGGATTAAAAACCTGTTAATTGCTTACTGTGCCTTATACATTTATGATATTTTATAGGACAATACATGTCAATTTACTGTAAAGATCACCATTAAAATTAGCAGAGAAAGTCAAATTTGACTATATATACACACGTGTGTGTGAATCACCTTGAAAGTTAGCTTTTTTGTTTCAGCATTTTCTACAGTAAAGTTTAAATTACCTGTAAATTGAATATAAATACAGTTTTAAATAAAAATGTTTTTAAAGTAATGATGTAAGTAAAAGAAAACGAAGCTGCAAATCAATAAAGGTTTATTATTATTAATTAAATCAGCATAAAGGCAGTAAAATGTTGTACAGTTTAATATATATATATATATAATATATGCTGTGTTTATACACACACACACACACACACACAATATACATACACAAAATTATATATTTATGTTCATATATAAAATATTTAACTAACATTAATATAAATAATGAATAAAATATACAAATAAAAATATATTTTATATATATATATATATATATATATATATATAACTATTGATTATTTCAATTATTATTGTTGTTATTTATTTGTTTAATAATTCACATATAAAATAATATATATTAATAATATATATTTTCATACTACACTTTATTTTACAAATGAAAATGTTGGTGTGACAATGTGCTTCATTGTGACTTCATTGTTAATATAAACAGGCTTTATATATTATATATATATATATAATTTTTTCGGATGAAACCACTCGTTATTGTTTGGCTTGGAGAGATTCACTCGTGTAACTCTATTAGACACCGCCATCTGTTGGTAGATGAGCGTTACTACGCGCCTTTGCGTCAGCCTGAGCTGACCAATCACAGCACGCCTGCAGGTTTTGAATGAGAGCGGCAGTATGGCGGCGAGCAGACAGCGAGTTGTTGTTTTTATTGACGCGGCGTTCAGTCGGTTACTTTCTTACCGTCGGGACGGTAGTAAACTAGAAGAAAGGACATCAACACTTCCAGGTCAGTTTTAGTTATGGGTTCACGTAAACATGTAACGTTATTTTTAAGTCATTTGACAGGTTATTCACCTCAGTGTACTCGTTATTATACAACAATTACATTTGTGGACTGAAGTACATTTGCGACAATTTGAAAAGACAATCTTATAGTCAAAAGGCTTTTTTTTGGACCCATACAATGATGGATGGATCAAAAGAAGTAGAGATCACATCATCTTTTAATAAAAACCAAAGAAGTAAACAGGACCTATGTGATCTCAGCACTCACAAAATGTGGAGAACCCCCATTTAAAACACCATCCTCTGGTGTCAGACTCACTCTTCAGAGAAAACCCAGCAGCAGAACCACTGCAAACCACCATGAAGAAACCACACAGGAGAACCAAAGAGGAGAGAGACGCCTGACCCTTCAGCGCCGCACCAGAACCAAAGTCCTGACCGAACCCAATCCAGCAAGAGAGACCCACGAAACCATCAAAACACCTGGGAAAACCTCAGATGCTCAGAAAACGAGCTCCGAGAAGGTCAGAGCCACCCATGATGAGGGTAAAACCGTTTCTACACCTACAAGAAGAACCCAGTTTGAGAAATTAAGAGGCTGGCCGGTAAAGATGCATCTAGACCCACAGCTGCAGCAACAAGACAGAAGCCACCGCAGATGAGCACTGACACCATGAGACCCACATGTGGAGCAAGCTGTGAGAGGGCTCAGATTGGTGGTTTAAATAGGCACATGACACCCGCCTCACGTTCAGCACAGGTGAGGAGACCCACAGCCCTAATGAGCTCCACAGCTCATGGAGGAACCAGTGTTTCTAGAGCTGCTCCTGCTGAAGGACATGCTCCTCTGGAAGCTGTGAGCAGAACAAGTGCTCTACGACCCCAAGAGCTGAAGATGGAGAACAGTGCGGTCACTGTCGCAGTTCGAGTGTATATATATATACATTTGATTTACAAGTATTTAAATTACAACAAACATAATATTTGGTTTCTACAACCCTGTTACTGCATAATTTCCCCTTTTGTTAAAAAAATAATAATTAAATGGTGAGACCCAGTTAATGACATAATTTGGACCTGTTTTCAAGCTAAGCTGTAAGACAAGCATCCAAAATAATGATCATTTTTCTTTCTTAATTTTTATGCATATTGCAATTTTGACAGCATTCATTAGTCTTAATTGTTTAACCCTTTTATGTAATTTATACATAAACATAAAATATTGTTTCTCATTTTTGGGAAATATTATTTTGGAAATGAATAAATTATCACTAATTACAAAACAACAGTGGTCCTAAACTATCTAACTCCTACTGAGTTACGCATTAATCAGTCAACCCTGTTACCCATTCTGATATAGTCTATTTAATATACTCGATTTTCTACTTACTATTTATTTAAAAATATTTATTTATATTTTTTTAGTATTTAGTTTGATCTCTTGGGGTAAACTGTGATATTATGTAATACTATTAATTGTTATAATATAATATAATAATAACATTTTATAATATTTTTCTATATATAGTATTTTATTAATATCATTATATTTTAATATTATTGTGCAAAGTGCCACTTACTTGTACTAAAAGTTTCGCTATTTATTTATTTTTGTGTGTGTCCACAGGAAGAAGAATGAGAAAACCCGTCAGGTGATCTTCATGAACAACCAAGAAACTGTTGTGCAACATCCAGATGCTAAACAAAACTACACATTTACCTTTGACTTCTCTTTTTGCTCTATCAATGAATCGGATGCAAGTTTTGCCAGTCAGCAGATGGTTTATGAAAAACTGGCTCGGCCCTTGCTTGAAAGAGCATTCGAGGGATTTAACACGTGTCTTTTTGCATACGGCCAAACAGGTTCTGGAAAGTCCTACACGTAAGTGACGATTCTCTTTGAAACTGCATTTTTTATAAATGTACTAATAATAATAATAACTATTCAGAATCAGATTGATATTTTTAAAGTGCCATTTTGGATGTTTTCTAGTATGATGGGTTTTGGTGAAGAGGCTGGCGTTATTCCCAGATTCTGCGAGGAACTTTTCTCGAGATTGTCCAGAACTGAAACCAAAGAGGTTACTGCCCCATATGATGATTATTCATTTACAATTTATGATTGAATTGAATATAGCTTGTTTGACCGTTCTAAATGCAGGTTTATTTACAGTGGGTACGGAAAGTATTCAGACCCCCTTAAATTTTTCACTCTTTGTTATATTGCAGCCATTTGCTAAAATCATTTAAGTTAATTTTTTTCCTCATTAATGTACACACAGCACCCCATATTGACAGAAAAACACAGAATTGTTGACATTTTTGCAGATTTATTAAAAAAGAAAAACTGAAATATCACATGATCCTAAGTATTCAGACCCTTTGCTGTGACACTCATATATTTAACTCAAGATCTCCTGCCATCTGGAGATGAGCTATTTTGAGGTGTACAATGAGAAAATCCACGATTTGCTGGTGGCAAAGGACAAACAAAACCAGAAGAAAATGCCTGTAAGTGCAACAACTCAATAAACATATTAAATGTTACAAATGTCTTGTAGTTTATTTGTCTTCCTTATTGAGCTGTTCAGCAATTCAGTCCTTTTCTTGGCTTTTCCATCTGCGAGTGAGAGAACATCCTGTCTTTGGGCCTTATGTTGCAGACCTGTCCACATAAGCAACCATTTCATTTAAATGCCAGGATTACTATGGCCATGGAATTCTCTATTTTTTTGTCTTGTTTTGTTTTTCTTTAGTTTTGTTGTGTTGTTGTTTTTTGTTATTTTATGTTTTTTTGTTGTTGTTATATTGTTGTTTTGTTTTGTTTTGTTTATTTTGTTGTCTTGTGTTTTTTTTTGTTATGTTATTTTGGTTTTTTGTTGTTGTTTTATATTTTGTTTTGTTGTTTTATATTTTGTTTTGTTGTTTTTGTATTTTATTTTATGATTTTTTTGGGGTCATTTTGTTGTCTTGTGGTTTTTTTATGTTATCGTTTTTTGTTTTGTTTTCTTATTTTGTTTTGTTTTCTTATTTTGTTATGTTTTTTTATTTTTGTTTTGTTATGTTTTTTTATTTTTGTTTAAAAGTGAAAAGTGAAGTGACGTGGCCAAGTATGGTGACCCGTACTTGGAATTAGTGCTCTGCATTTATCCCATCCAAAGTGCACACACACACACCGTGAACACACACCCGGAGCAGTGGGCATCCATTTTTTTGCTGCGGCGCCCGGGGAGCAGTTGGGGGTTTGGTGCCTTGCTCAAGGGCACCTCAGTCGTGGTATTGAAGGTGGGAGAGAGCGCTGTACATTCACTCCCCCCACCTACAACCTTTGGGTTACGAGTCCGACTCTCTAACCGTTATGGCCGTTTTATTTTTTGTTATTTCATGAAATGTTTTTTTTTGTTTGTTTTAGTTGTGTTTCGTTTTTTGGTTTTGATTTCTTTTCCTTTTCCTTTGTTGTGTTGTGTTTTTTTTTTAAACGTAATTTTATTTAATTGTATTTTTTGTTTTGTGCTAATCTCTATGCTGTCTTTCAGGAACGTAGTCACATCTTATGCTGATATTCAGGTAATTTAAGGTGTCTGTTCACTTTTTACATTCATTACATATTATTTTTGTTCTTACCATTAATACATTTTTCCTCCCCCAACTTCACAGACTTGGCTTGAACTCAGTAACGAACAGAGAGCCACGGCCGCCACCGGCATGAACGATAAAAGCTCCAGATCACACTCTGTTTTCACTCTGGTCATGACACAAACTAAAGTAAGCCCCTCAGGTTTATTTGCAGTGAGATGCTACTTTTACTTCAGCCA